TGTATACTATCCGAAATTCTAGAAGGCATTTAAACAGGTGACAGCTGTCACTACTTACCTGTTTTTCTTAAACAGAACAACAATGCTACTGAAACTGGGTCCCAGACAAGAATATACCACTTGTTCCTGTGTCTCAGGGAAGAGAGGAGGTCTTAATACAGGCATTATTGATCCAGTGACTCCTGGGTATTTGGTCCTTATCACAACCACTAAAAGTAGATTCACGTTTTCTTTTGTGAGGAAGCTGATGACTGCTGCCCTTCATTACTTGAGAACTATTGCTCAAGGTTTTGACAATAAAGACACCAGAGATTAATGTTTAAGCCTCTTCATAAAGCAAAACACGTGAAATGTATGGGTGATGGCCAACATTGATCTGTAATTGATCTCAGATAATATAAAAACATCATTCCCTTGGAACACACGTTAAATAATAGGGTAAGAAAACTCTTAAATGTCAGACTCCTTGTTATAGGACAGTTATTTCTAGGTGTGTGTCACCAATTCTAGTTCTTTTCACTCTGGCAATCAATCATCAGAACACATTGAAGTCATTGTTGGTTCGAATCCAGAAGAATTCCAAAACAGAAAAAGGAGAAAGGACCCACCTGAGAGAGTACAGCCCTTCATCATCAGATGAAAACACACAATAGGCAGAGGAAACAGGAAACAGTTAGGAATATACTTTTTTTGTGTGGTACTGGGATTTGAACTCAGTGCTTCATACTTGCTAGGCAGGCACTCTACCACTTGAGCCATGTCCCCAGCTCTTTTTGCTTAAATTATTTTCAAATATGGTCTCTCATTTTTGCCCAGGGCCAACATAGATGGCAATTCTTCTATTTATGCCTCCCGCATAGCTGGGATGACAGGCATACACCACATGTCCAGCTTATTGGCTGAAATGGGATCTCGCTAACTTTTTGCCTGGGCTAGCCTCAAATCACAATCCTCCTAACACCTCCTAAGTGGCTGGGATTACAGGTTTAAATTCCCACTCCTGGAAGGATTAAATTGAGACACTCTTCTGGGTATACCTCACACACAGAAACACACACACACACACACACACACACACACACACACACAATTTCCAAATGTGTTCCATTCAGCTATGGAAGTCACTCAAACAAAACTAAAAGATTATTTAGGGGCCATTTTTTCTAAAGTATGTTGTTCTTTTTTTTTTTAAGTGCTTGAACAGATTGACAATAAAACTTAGATTGATTAGCAAATGTGGGTTTGAATTGCCTGAGTTGAGGCTATCAAGATAGTCCTAAAAGAAAAATTTCAAAGATCCTATTATCCACCAGTACATTAAAGGTCCTGAAAAATGCTGTTTCTTTACTCAAAGGATGTACCCACATGCAGATAGGTCCTTGCTGTTAAGGGAAAATCCAGTCTGTCTGGGGCAAGGACAAGAGTCAAGTGAGAGAACAAAGTACCAAGGTGCACAGCACTGGCTATATATGTAGTCAGGCAGGAAACATGTTCCTTCCTCAAGAAACTTCTGATCCGTGTTTGGACAAAAATACATTTTTATGCTGATTTCCAACTTAAACCAGCTATTGAACATGCTAGGATTATATGGTACATTTTGGTTAGCTGGAAAGGATCCTGACGTCTGAACATGCTTCCTGTCTCAGCATCTAGAAGATTTTTGAGACTTCAGTAAGGTTTAACATCAGAATAATTCTCCTTAAGGAAAGCTTATTGGTCTATTTGTCTTATTTCATAGCTACCTCAAAATAGGTCTTTTACAATGAAAAAAAAGACAGATAAAAGAGATGTAGAGTAAGTAAGAAGGTACCCTCAAAGGTGTTGCCATAAACCTGCAGGGTTCCAGGGGGATTATTGCAGTGTCTCTGGAGAAAGTTTGTGAACATACAGATCATCTGAGTTCTAAGCAGCTTCCTTCTAGCCTCATCCATTACATTTTCTGGCGTGATTTGCTACATCAGTATCTTTCACATCTTCTTCACTGGTCCCAATGTGAGGTGGGTTTTTTTTCCACCATTTTCTTCCCATACCGTCTTGCCTTCTCTTTAAAGCCTTCATCTCATCCCCCCACCCCCTGCTGATTTATTCTCAATGTCTCCAGTCTACCTTCTTCGTTGAATCCTGGTCCTGATCCAGGACCAGTTTCTACTCCTGTAGTGCTGACAAACTCAAAATTAGTTGTCTTGTTTGATAACAGATGAAGACTGGTTGGTGGTCTTGAGGCAGAACCCCTACCTGCTTACAGTGACCTTAGGCTAAAGAATTCTCAAGCAGAATAAAATTTGGCTGTGACTGCTATATTCAGGTGTCCTAACATTGTCCAGCGAAGACTATGAGCTACATAGGTAGCAACTACTCTCACCTTGCCTTCTTTTTACCTGCCAGAAATTACCTTGAGGCATATGATTTGGTATGAAGGACTTCTGCAGCTTTCCACACAAGCAGTGTCTTCTTGTTCTAGCTTTTATTCTTAGGAATATCAGTTTTGCACGTTAAGCCTTTGCTCCTTAGGGATGTCATTATATAGCCGCCAAGTCTGAGTGAACCTTAGAAACCCAATTTAATCTTTAATTTGTACAAGGTCCACATGCATTTCTTCCATCTCTGTCTCATGTGTGCTTTTAAGTAAGACCTTGTGGATCTCAGTTTGCAGATGTTGAGTCTCAGTGTTCCTCAGCTACAGTTGTTTATTGCCCTTTTAGGAAAAGCCATGAGCAAACAAAACCAATCAGTGGTCCTTTCTATTTTGTGTTTTCCAGTTTCTTACTTTGAAGAATTGGATGAGGAAAGAGCAGACAAAGCTAAAGGAGGAAATTTGCCTCAGGCATACCTTGTCCTGAGCATATAGCGACTGCCAGCTCACACATGGATACATTTGCTTTCTTCTTTGTCTGATCAACTCCATGCTAACCACCAAGCTCCCTGGCTGCTTCTGAGCATGACTTTATTACCAGGATAAGAGCATGGGGCAGTGAATGAGAATCCTCACCCCAGGGGGACATTGTTGGGGGGAGGTGTTCTCTTCTGCTCTGCCCCAAGAAGTAGGGAAATTTTGAAGTGGAATCTTCTTTTGTTACTGTGGAAAAAAACTTTGTTCCACTTACTAGTTTTATTAATCCAGATCTGTGTACCTCACGTTTCTTACCTTGCTCTAACTCTTCTCAGCCCCTGAAGTCAATTAATCTTTTTCTTATTTTATAGCACTAGAAAATGAGAACCTAAAGCATGGTGGCTCAAAACTGTAATCCTAGGTACTCAGGAGGTGGGAACTGGGAAGACTGAAATTCAAGGCCAGTCCAGGCAGAAAGTGAGATCCCATCTGAACCAGTGGCTGGCACCTGTCATCCCAACTAGGTAGGAAGAGTAAGTAGGATCCTGGTGGGACCGGAGCTGTGGCTCAAGTGTGCCTGAGTTCAATCCCCTCCAAATAAAAGAACCTAGTCTTGGGAAATTTGAACTTGAGAGTCTAGTAAGTATAATTTATACACCCTGCCCCTAAAGATAAATAATTTTCTCTCCTAGTGCTATGTAATAGGTTTTTAGTAAGCGAGTCCTGGGTTTTCTTCCTTTGCTTGAGAACAAATTCTTCCCTTACTTCTTCTCTGGTGACTGCTAATTTCTAACAAGTACAGGAAGGGATGAGCCTATGTACAGTGTCATTGGAAGAACTCCTCATACCAGGTGGTTTCATCCCTGTACACCACCCCCACCCACTCCCATGGGATAAATACAGAGAGCAGTTGAATGGGGTTGGAGGGTTGATGCCTGACCTCCCCAGGCATTCAGCTTATCCTGGAGCACATCAGTGTGTGGGGGCTGCTGCTTGCTTGACTCTCTACCAGGCCTGCTCCCAACATAGCCATCTCTCTGGGGCCAGCGGAGTTCTCAAATGGTGGTTTAACGCCAGGTCCCATTTAACATTAGGTTCCATTTAACTTCAGGTTCTGTTAAATGACTGCATTTCTACCCCATACTTTTGGTGACTGAGGATCGGAAGGGGATTTTTAAAAATAAAATCCAAGCCTGCAGTATAGCAGCAACACTTTAACCATCACAGGCCATGCTGAGACAAAGCAGCTGACAGAAATGCTTCCCAGCATCTTACACCAGCTTGGTGCAGACAGCCTGACTAGTTTAAGGAGACTGGCTGAAGCTCTGCCTAAACAATCTGTGGATGGAAAAGCACCACTTGCTACTGGAGAGGATAATGATGATGAAGTTCTGGATCTTGTGGAAAATTTTGATGAGGCTTCTAAAAAGGAGGCAAACTGAATAAGTCAACTTCTGAAGATAAAACTGGAAGAAGTTAACAGGAGCTGCTATTTTATATTATGACTGCTTTTTTAAATTCTTTTGTTTATGGATCTGATAAAAATCTAGATCTCTAATATTTTTAAGCCCAAACCCCCTGGACACGACAGCTCTTTGTAGTTTTTGCTTATACACAATTCATTCTTTGCAGCTAACTAAGAAGGAAACCTGGAAATAGTTTGAAACAAAGGTTAATAAAACTGTTGGCCCAGTAAAAAGAAAAAAATCTTTGGACTAAAAAAGAAATGCTTATGCATAAATATGTAAAGTAAATTATTATGTAACTATTATTCTTTTCTGTATGTTTTATGATGTAATTAAAGGAAATACGCTGTGAAGACTTTTCATTTTTCTGTGGGGGAAAATAAAAATAAAACAAAAGAACCAGAACAATGATTAAATACTTAAAATGTATGCTGTAAAAATGTGAAACTGGGCACTGGTGGCTCACATCTATAATCCTAGCTATTTTGGAGGCTGAGATGAGGAGGATCACAGTTCAAGGCAGCCCAGGCAAATAGTTCTCAAGACCCCATCTTTAAAATAACCAGAGCAAAATGGACTAGAGGCATAGCTCAAGCAGTAGAGTGCCAGTTTTGCAAGTGGAAAGCCCTGAGTTCCAATGCCAGTCTCACCAAAAAAAAAAAAAAAGTGCGAAAACTCCATTGCAAGATAAAAATTGTCCAAACGTAAGTTTTACAAACAAATGAAACAAAAAACAAGAAACCTCAAAGTTTAAAATACCAGAAAAAGATCAAGGATTAAGTGGACAAAATCAATAAAGAGGGACCCCTTTATTACACATTACAAAATGAGTATTAAAAATGGGACACATTTTAAAATTTTTGGTATCTTGTATTTTGCATTCAATTTCTTAATCATCTCACAATCATTCATAACTTTTTGTTGTACAATGTGTTCTCATTCAACCTCTCCCACCAAAGATTCTTGTGATACACACTGTCAGAGAAATTAATTCAATAGCTCACAAATAAAGTCAGAGTTCTCAAGGAAATAAATAAAACAAAAATCTTTGAAACATAATTTAATCTCTGGTGATCCAAAAAGCGCCTTAAGGTTGAGTTGTGCTGTTTTCCTCATGTATGTTTAGGTGCCTGTGACAGAATTCTGGTTAATGGAGTTTTGAACAAAAATAAAATTGTTTCATATGTAGCTTACATAGCATCAAATGACTTACAGACACAATATGGGAATTTTGGTGTGTGCATTTGTAATTAATGATACCACAATTTATAAGATGCTGAGAATACTTTAAAAATTAAAGTTACAAAATGAGTATTTTTAGTACATTTAGTAATGGCTAAGCTATCATGTCATTTTTGGTGACCAAGTTGTATTTGACCATAATTAAAGGACATATAACTTTCTAAATAACATTTTTAAAACATGGTTACAACAGTACTACTACATTAAAAGAAAAGCCATATGCATGTATTGAAGGGCAATGAGGATTCTCAGACCCACTCTTTTGAAAGGCTCTCAACCCACTTTAATGTAAATGAATTTAAAACTTTACAAAGATTCTATTCAACGTGCTAGCAGGAAGAGGTGGATTCAGTGTTGATCACAATCCTGCCTAACAACCACTCAATGCCAATCATGGCACGAGGATTTTTATTTGATTACCCTGACAACCATTACATTTGAGCCACATGTATATATTCAGATGTGACTGATTCAGCTCATCAACTGCAGACAGAGACATGCTCAACTTAGAAAAGCCTGAAACAAATGACAACTAGAAATGGTTGAATCACTGTACCTGTTAGAAACAACCTTAAATCTTAGTTTTGCTATATACTACTTGGTGCTTTTGGACTTGGAAGTTGGAATAAAAAAAATTTCTGTATTCAAACATATCTACAGAATGTCAATAAAAAAATGTGTGGATATATACATTTAATATACACACATCCATATCCACTCACTCACACACACACACTCACAATGTCTAGGAACCAGCACCTAACCACACCCTCATTTCTCACTAATGACCACTGAATCATTAAGACCAGCTTAGATGCTATAAGGCTATAACAACATATGGCTAAAGAGGTCAAACACAAGCACCCTTCAAGCTGGATTAAATTGTTCCTCATCATGATTTCTGACAAGTAGTAATACCGTTTATATGACCACTATACCTCAATAACTTAGAATCGGAGTATAAAATCACACTCATGGAACTCCCTCACTGTTTTATGAGTACTCCTTCCACTAACTGATGAGAGGGCACACCAAACTGGATTACTGAACTGTACAAATGATCTTTACTCTTAATCTAAACAAACATGAGTTAAAACATTCTGAAACGCTGCATCTTTTGATTTCTTCATCTTTTCAATTGCCCGATGAAGGTCCTGCTGCTGCACAGGCCGAATTTCGTCTTCATCGTGACTAAAATGCAAACCACCACCACATCGTTAGATAATTTTCCGATACAACTCCTAAAAATATTTTACCAAGATTTTAAAAAGTGCATGTAGTAAAAAATAAATTTGTTTCCAACTACAGAATGAGTAGAACAATAAGATCTCTTTCCCATTTAACATTCCAAACAAAACCACAATTGACACTTTGATCCAATTCTTTCAGGAATGATCTATGCATATACAAGTCACAAGAGACTTGGCAGTACAGAAGTTCGAACTCAGGACCTCATGCTTGGTAGGCAGGAGCTCTATCACTTGAGCCACAGCTCCAATCCTTTTTGCCCAGGGAGGTCTCAGACCACAACCCTCCTACCTATACCTCCAGCATAGCTGGGATCACAGGCACATGCCACCATGCTGATTTACTGATGAGATGGTGTCTCACTAACTTTTTACCTGGGCTGGCCTTGACCATGATCCTTCTAATTTCTACCTCCTGATTTCTTGAATCCTAGTTGCTAGGATTATAGCTGTGAGCCACCACACCTGGACCCAAAAGTCCTAAAATGCAGGAAAGTAAAATGGTTTGGCTGTGGGCATGGCTGGAATGGTAGAGTGCCTGCCTAGCAAGCACAAGGTGCTGAGTTCAAACCCCAGCAGTGTAAAGATTAAATATTTCACATCAAGAATGTAAATACAGAACATTACTATAAGGTATACAGTATAAAAGTATGCCAGTTTACCCTAACAGTAATATAATTACAATCAAGAAATCAAAAATTACTACCATAAAAAGGGAATTAAAAAGTAACATTTCTTGGTATATACTCATAAACATGTGAGGCCTTTTGCCAACTGGAAGTAAAATTCATCACCTTTAATAAAAAACAATCTAAGTCCTCTCCACTTTAATCATAAAAAAAAAATATTATGTCTCTTATGTAATTCACAGACACTCAGGGAAAAACATTCAAGGAAAAAATAATGATAAGTCTATTAGCTAGACTTTCATATGAAATACAGAAATTCAGGGTTCTGAGGCACCAGAAAAACAAGTCTTTCATTATTAACGTAATTTAGTTAAGAAAAATTTATATACAGGTTGGTTATTTCTCCTTTTAATCCTTTGTAAGAATAAAGACCTTTGGAGCTGAGTATCTTGGCGCACATCTGCAGTACTAGTACTTGAGAGGCTGAAGCAGGAGGAGGCCAGCGTGGGCCACATAGTAAATAGTCCCTGTCTCGAACAAATGAACAAAAACAACAAAGAATAAAGACTTCTGGAAGGTAGATTTTTGGCTGCAGTAGCTGGATTAATCTGGCAATGAATAAATGGAACGAACCTGTCCACCTGGGGCTTGAGGGAGCATTATTATTGGGTCTAGAACAATGCATTCATAGCTGCTGCTTGACAGGGTAACTTTCATGCAAACCTTTCTAAGCCAAAAAAAGGTTTTGGTGAAACTTACCGAACATGGAAACACACTGTAACCAAATACATAAATAGTATGGACAAATCAGCATCACTTACGAGTGAAACCCTCAGGACTGAGGGAGAATGAAAACCAAAGGGGCAAGAGTTGAACTCATTTAATACTTAATACTAAGTCAGAGGAAGTCTTTGTTAGAGGGTTGATATTCTGAAAAGAAATGCTGTATAGTACTGGTTCAGGGCAAATGGCCATTTGGGAAGCTTCCTTAAACAACAAGGTTCATCAGGGCCAAATTATTTCAGTATACTATTTTTGCTGGAATAAGGATGGTACAAAACTGACTTCTCAAGCTCACCATACTTTGAAACTGACTTCAAGTAAACTTTGCTGAAATGACAAATGGTTTGTTTAGGAAATACATTACTGCTATGGGTCTACAACCATGCTGAGGCCTAGTCCTCAGCACCCCCACCTTTCCTCTTTACATGTGAAATATCTGGAAGACAAGGTACTCCTTTCTCTATATAACAGAATTTTAAGATACAGTAGCCATCTAGGGATCTTAGAGAATCCTGTTTTCCTAACAAGAGGGCAGGTGTAGGTTTCTGTCAGCATTCCATGGATTACCAGCAGAAATTCAGCTTTTGCACAGCCTTTTTTTTCTTCATTTTCAGAATTCCCATTGAAAAATGGCAATAAATAGGAGTTGGGAGTTGTTATTATATAAAGCAAAATAATAACAAAAATAATAAAACTAAAAGTTCTAAAAGGTTTGATGACTACTAGAAATGAAGTCTAAACATAAATACCTTTCTTCTGATGTAGAATTAACATACTCCCTGACACAGAGGAGAGCAGCATCTCGACACATCTCTTTGAGGTCACTTCCTGAAAAACCATCAGTTTCCTGGGCAACTTCTAGCAGGTCTACATGTCTATCCACCTTAAATAAATTAGAAACACGTTTATAAAACAACATAAGATATACTCAAAGGATACTTCCAAAAACCAATCTGAGTGTTAAAGAAAGCTAAGCATATTATAACAAGGAGAGGAGAAACTTTAAGAAGTATTTTCAGTTTCTAGAATTTTTTTTAAACCATAAGAGCTTAGAAATTTTCAGTATTTGTCATTGTGACTGAAACAGTAGTATCTTTACTAGATACACTGTGCAGTGATAGGGAAGAACACACATTCAAACAACTTGCATCATTAAGTCCAGAATCCATTACAAAAGGAAAAAATTTTAAAAACCTTAAAATTCCTCTGAAATGTAAGTGCTTTAATATTCTGCTATCTGAACACTAATGTAGCACTTAAGTGTTGTTCCCAACCTAAGCTTATAGTCAAGCCAAATGACAAGCTTGGGAGACTAAATTTATGTACAGATTAAAAAGAGAAAATGAGCAAGAAAAAGTATATTTGTGGTTATCATCTATTAAGTCATTCTTGTGTTTCATTTACAGTGCTAAGCACTCTATTACTCTCATTTAATCATATCAGGTAAGTAATGTCATTTTCATTTTCTGTTAAGAATTATGAGACTTGCAGAAGTTAACAAGGTCACAGAACTACGATCTGCACGCATGGAGTAGTAATCCAAACATACTTTGCCTCTTATAACCGCTTGTCATAATAACATTTACTTCCCCCATGGACTTGAAATGTCACTTTTATTATTTGCTAAATTCCCATTTGTAATTGTGGAAGACTTCAAGATTTACAGAAGGATAAGAAGAGATTTAGAAGTGAGATACCACTGGGTGTACTGCTAGATCTACAACTGTGACCGCAAATGACAGTATTCTCTCTCCTAAATGTGTTAAAGAGAAATTACCTATTTTTTATTAAAAAAAAAACAAAAAAAACTGAACCTAGAAGGTAGGAGTTGTGCAAGCAGCAATGATAAGCAAAGAAAATGGCAAACATATAGATAAATCTAAACAAGCTGTGCAGTACTGACAATCATTTAACTTGGAATACAAAAACAAAGCAGAATCAAAATGTTACATAATAACAACATGTAAGATACAGGACATCTAATTAAGGCATTTTAAGATCTTATAATTGTAGCACTGGGGACTAGAGGTGTGGCTCAAGCACAAATCCCTGAGTTCAAAACTCAGTCCCACCAATACATAAATACATAAACCCCCAACAAACAAACAAACAATTATAGCACTGGAAAGAGGACAGGAATACTGACTTTTTGTATACATGCCAAAAATTTCAAGGTTACTACTAAAGGATAGAAAGAGAATGTATCATTTCAAAATCCGTAGAGACAAAAGAAAATAAAGAATGAAACAACAATACTAATGAATGTGGGACTGAAGTAGAGATGGAAAAAAAGGCATACTACATGGAATGCACTAAAATAAAAACAAATGATCACAAAACAAGATTATATATAATCTTGCAAAACAAGATTATATATATTTAGAATAAAAATGTAGCTATCTGAGGACAGAAATAGTCATGCACATGCTGAAGGAAAAATAAGCTATTGTTACACAGCCGATACACAATACATGTGAGAATTTGATAAAGGTGGTCTCTATAGTAAGGAGAGTCGGTGGCTCACACCTGTAATCCTAGCTACTTGGGAGGCTGAGATTGGGAGGGTGGGCAAATAGTTTGCAAACCCCATCTCCAAAACAACCATAGCAAAATGGGTTTGAAGCATTGCTCAAGCATTAGAGCACCTGCCTTGCAAGCATGAAGCCTTGTTGGCAAGGCTGTAAGGAGAGATGTCTCCAATATTGCTGGGAAGAGAGTAAACAGGCATGGAAAATCTGGCAATAGCCGCCAAAGTATAAGCACCTTGTACTTGGATCTGGCCACTTCTCTTCACCCTACTAATATTCCTGTGCAAGTGTAAAATGACATAGATATAAAGTTATTCAATATAGCATTTTTATACTAGTGAAAGACCAGAATCAGCCCAAATGCCCTTCAATATAGCACTGGTTAAATAAATTACAGCAAAACTACACAATGGAATCCTATGCCACAGAGAGAGAACAGAATAAGGAAAGCTATGCTGATAGGGAAACTTCTCAAAGATAAGTGAAAAAGCAATGCACAGAACAGTATGTATGCATTATTAACATGGGTTATGTAAAAAAGGGAAGAGGAATAGCAGTGCATTTTAATTCACTTCTATAGGCATAACCCCAATCTGAAAGAATACAGAAGAAATACTGGAGAAAAAAAGAAACTTTCCTCTGTAAACATTTAGTAATATATTTTAATGTTTGAACCATATGACTATATTACTATTTAAAAAGAAAAAAAAAACTTTAAACACAAAAGCTATAGAAGATATTGACCAGTATTTGTCTTTTTTATTTGAGACTTTTTATTTGGGCTATGTAGCCCAGGCTGGCCTTGATTCCTGATCCCATCTCCATATCTCAAAAGTACTGGGATTACATTACCATCATGTCTGAGTTATCATTTCTTCTTAAATCTAAATTTCAAACTCAAAAAATTATTGCAATGAAGTAAAAACAAGAAGCAACACCCCATACACACACACACACACACACACACACACACACACACACACACACAAATAAGTGGGGAAGATACAAGTAAAGAGTGTAGGGTGAATATGGAGCCTATATTATGTACTCATGTATGAAAATGGAAAATGAGACCTGTTGAAACTGTTCTAGGAATGGGGGAGGGGGACAAAGGAGAATGATGGAGGGGGCGAATTCAACTATGATACATTATAAGAACATTGTATATCATAATGTATCCCCACTATAACAATTTTTTTTAAAAAAAGATAAAATATACATCAAAATGTGAAAAAAATTCTTACATAATCTGTAATGGTCTGAAGAATATTTTAATTTGTAGATACAAAAACACATGGGATTTAAAAACTTAACCAAATCACTTAATTCAAAAATATCAGTTATTGAGGTATACGACCAGTTTTGCAGTAATTTAAGTCAAGTTCAAATCTACACTGTTCTCAGATTACTTCATTTCTCTCTAAAATGACTTTATAAGCACAAATATCACATTATAGAAAGAGGAAAACATCATACTTACATTTTCATTTTTCAAGATGAGCTTCAATATTGCTTCTCTTTGTTTTAGAGCCTAAAACCAGAATCACTTCCAGTTAGCATTAAAAAAGTAAATAAATAAATAAATCAACCAGTTTTCCTACTATTTCCTCCCTTATAAACTACCTATTCGAAATGACAGAAGCTGTGAGAGAGGTCAATGCAAGGATTCCACCTGACAATCTACAATAATGACTTGTGATTGTCCAGTGAATTATATACCCTTAATGTTTATTGAATGAGTGAAAGAACATCTAAGACTATAATATCTTTTCTACACAGCTCTGCAATATTCATTTTCCCTTTCACTTACTAAACTTAAGAAAACTCACCAATGCTGTAAGATTGTTTTTCCAATCAGTAAATGGCAGACATGACAACAATATCCCCTTGGTTCTCCATGTTCACTAAAACTTACAATGATTTCCCTCCAGTGATGCCTCATATTTACATCAGAGAATAGAAACTACACTTAACTGTTTTTTAGCATACCTTACAAAAGAGTAAATACACATGGCCTTTAAAATTAAGACTGAATTCATCCTTATTCCTACAACCATTGAAAAAATTGAGTTGATTATGAATATCAAATCAAATTACCTAAAAGGAAAATCAAACTCTGCTGTTTCTACAATTCAAGTGTGTTAAGTAGGAAGGTTAATTTGGTATGCTACGTGATCTCGAATAACTGCTTTTTGTTAAAAGTGTTTGCTTGGAGAGTTTTAAGGTAAGGCTAACAATACACTTTGTCATTTTAGTTACACCAGAAAAAAATTTCCCTTTAACATATGTGTGTATTCACTAAAAATGGAATAAATGATGACAAAATTCCAGTTTCTATGTTAATAGTATTCAAATTTGATGAAACTTGTTATGCCTCATTTTGAAAAAACACAATATATTAAAGTTTCGGCTTTAATAAATGCTGCTTTCCACGTTCTGTACTATGTTCCACAGCATTTGTATATCAAAACCCTTAGTTGTCCATAGGCTTACAATAGAATTACTGATAAAGATCACTAACCTTAGTGTTCAGAATCACTGAGGTAAACTCATTTTCTTTAAAATGTTCTAATATCTTGCTTACAAAAAATAGTAAATTCCTGTGCAAAGCACACAAAGCTCATCTAAACACAGCAGCAGTCTACCTTTCCAGCAACATCTCCACCTATTTTCCGTGGTGCTCTTAAGTGAACTATCCTTAAAACCCATCCATTAAATAAATTGTGCTTCCACACATTTTTTTGCCTTTGTTCATTCTGGTAGCAAGGCCCTTGCTTCTCTCTTTCATTTGCCTATCAAATTCCTACCATCCTTCAAGGCCCAAGTGACTTCTGTAAATACTATTGACTCCACAGATAGAAATTATTAGTTCTTATCATCATGTTAGGTTCTTACAGTTTTTTAAACACAAAGCACATCTGCATTATTCATTTGTCTGCTTTCCCTATAACAGAGTTCTTTGAAGACAAGAGACATGTTCCATTCGCTGGAGCCCAGCAAGTATCCTACACATATTAACAGTTAATAAATAATAGTTACACGGAATTCAATTTACAGTCTCCTGCATTAAGTCAAAATATCTCTTCATTAATTTATTGGGTAATTTTCAAATAGTGATTAAGTATGTGAATATCCTCAAAGGAACCAGAGCTTTCAGCTCTTTATTTGTGATCTTCAGGAGGGGATTGTTTTGTTTCATAGGACTCATTTATGACAGGCAGGAAAGGAATGGGGCAGGAAGCCCCACAATTACTTCTTGGCCCTTTCCACTTTTCTTTGTTTGTTTTTCTTATTTTTATTGTAAGATCAGCATTTTACCTTCTTTTCCAAGAATATAATTGCCCAAAATTTGCATAGACAATTTAGTGATTTACTTTAGGAAGATACATAAGAAAATCTAAATTGTAGTTTTGGATTAGTATAGAATAAAATTTGGGAAATGAAAGTTAAAGGATTATTTTGTTTTGAACACTTGGCATGCAGCTGGGATTTATTTTATTTTGGGAAGTGTAGTCAGGGCTTCCCTCTGAGTGGGTAATGATTCCAGTAGCTAAGGTACTATATTTTAACTTAACGTAAATGTGCATGATTTTTTCTTTCTACCATTCTTTTTTTATTTTTTTTTTAGTTAAGGAGTAGCCTTAAAAAGTTTTCATAACTTTTTGATATCCTATTATTTTTGTAGAAAATCCTAAAATCGTAAATTTTATCTGCCTTGATTAAAGAAAAAGAAACACGCTCTCATAGCAGAAGATATGTTGCATATAACCAGTACAGTATATTTATAGCCATTTTGAGGAACTTTTAGTTTGTTACTCCTTTTAGATTTGGGAATAAAAATATTAAAATTCCATTTATAATGGTTAACTACAAACCATTTGTCGTTTTCTGTTTTGTGACTTATATTCTTTCAGCTTATGGTAGCGAACATGGTGTCCTAAAGATTGAAGGTTATGCAACCTCTATAAAAATGTAGACCTATTAAATTTGTTAATTTAATATTATTAATTAAAATTTTATTAATTTTAATTAAATTTTATTTTTATTTTATAAAAACAAAGACCTATTAAAAACAAACAAACAAAAAAAGACAAACATTAAAGTGTTCATAAAAAAATCAAGACCACCTACAGGCTGGTTGATATGAAATCTTGTAGGCATTCTTCTCATTATTGCAGAGTCGAGGTCCTGAGGGCGATTAGTGGCTCCCATCACTATGACCTAAATAGAGAAAGACAACACAAGGTATTAAATCTAATCAAATGATAAATAAATCAAACGATAGCAAATCTGGAAAGCTTAATGCATTTCATGGGATTTCCAGTAACTAGAAAATGTACTTTCAGTTACAAGTACCACTAGTGGAAGATGGCAACTAGAGGGAGGAAGCAGAAAGTGTGCTTCCTAAAGTAAAATCTTGGAGAGCTGGAGAACACCTTGCAGGAAAAACTACCGAGAAGAGGCGAAACTCCGACACCTCCACACTCCCAGCCCGTGCATACCATCCCCACTCCATGTTAAACAGAGAAACCAGGAGGGCTCCCGCACCGCCAGACACCAGCACCTAACCTGCTTGAGAGAAGCAGACCACCAGGTGAGCTAAGTGGCGTGTGATACTTCCACAAACAACCCTGGGCCAGATCAGCATAGCCCCCTGGACAGACTGACCCCCATCCAGGGAAAAAAGAAAAAAAAAACAAACTGAATAAACAACAACAACAAGACAGGTAGCAAAGAGGGCGGGGTGCCCTGAGCTCCAGAGAGTTGGGGAGGGGCACTCCCTCGCCTCCCCCAGTGTGCTTGGAGTGCAGAAAGCTTGTGACAGTGGCTGTCCTGTGGAAAGCTCCACTGGAGATCGGGGTAGGAGTACTTCCCACACAAATTGTAAATAAACAAACGGCTGGAGAAGGCTGGTGTGGCACCCCTCCCCCAGTGTGCTTGCAGAAGGGAAGACTTCCAATGATGGCTAAACTGGGCACACTCAACCAGAGAGTAGGGGAGGGGCGCCTTCCCACCCAAACTCTAGATAAAAAAAAAGACTTCAATTGTAAAAGGCAGGTAGGGCTGTATAATGAAGAAAACAAAAGGGGCATGCATCCAGAAGAACTCTTAAATAAAGAAAGCCTGCCTGCAGCAGAGATGGCTACAAGTAAGGGGCAGGTGAAGCTGCAGCCTCAGCTAGACATACAAAGCTGTCTCAAGATTCCTTTTTTTTCTCTTTCCTTGGTGAGACATGAAGAACTAGCCTGGATGCTGAAGGATAACACCAAAATAATTATTTAAAAAAAAAAATTTAATTTTTGTTTTTTCTTCTCCCCCTTGTGGAAACACGAAGAACTTCCTTTCAACCACTCGAGAGTCTTAGGACTGGAGGGTGAGGACTACCACCAAAATTACTTCAGACTGAAACTTTAATTGCATTTGCAACTTGGGGGATTTTTTTTTTATCCTCTTCTCTGAGTCTCTCTAATTGCCTGGTTGCTTAAACGTTGATTAACTATACTACTCTCCTGTTTATTTCTTTAGCTTCTGGTTTTTTTTTTTTTTGTTTTTGTGTGGGTTTTTGTTTGTTGTTGTATTTTTTCCCTTTTCTTTACCTTCTCTTTTTTGCTTTTCCCTCTCTCTCCACCTTCTTAATTTAAGAAAATAAAAATCCAAAAAACCCCAATTGTTATTATTAGCTAGCTATACTGAATTAACACACAGTAGGGACAGTAACACTAGCAAGGGCAATGATGGGAAGACAGAAAACAGAGGGAAAGATTCCCCCAATAAATAATCAGTACAGGAACAAGAGGGAAATGAAGAAACAGTATCCAGATTCCAGCCTCCAACAAACAAAGATAAACTATCACGAAAGACCCATGAAGCAATAAGAAACACTGAAACGAAAGACAATCCTGCAAGTAATCATGGAGAGTTTTATAGAAATGACCACAATAAAGAATGCAATTATCACCTTATGTCACAATGTACGCACCCAATTTTTCATCAAAACACACCCTGAAGGACTCTAAAAGATATATTTGACCCAACACAGTGGTTTGGGGAGACTTAAACACCTACTAATCATCAATAGAATCGGTCATCCAACAAAAAATCAATAACAAATCCTAAGATTTTAACAACATACGCATAGATCAATGGACGCTACTTGATGTCTACAACATTTCATCAACTTCTATACACATATACTTCTTCTCAGCAGCACGGAACCTTCTCCAAATTAGTTACATCCTAGGCAAAAGCAGCCTCAGCAAAATATAAGAAAATAGAAATTAATACATGCATTCTATCTGTCACAATGCAATAAAACTAGAACTCAACACGAAAATAAAGCAAAAAATTGAAACAGCTGGAAACTTGAAATAACTCTTGCTTAATGAATAATGGGTCTTGATGAATAAAGAGGAATTAAAAGGTTCCTGGAAGTTCAATGAATATGAAAACACACCTACTGGAACTATGGACCAGCAAAGGCAGTCCCTGAGAGGAAGTTTTAGCCAATGATGCCATATATTAAAGAAAGCAAGATCTCAAATCAATGACCTAATGAATACTCTCAAACTCTAGAAAAACAAGAACGAGTAAATCCAAAACAAATAGGGAGAAATAATAAAAATACGGCTGAAATCAATGAATAGAACCAAAAAACCATACAAGTATTAATGAAAAAAAGTTAGTTCTTTGAAAAGTTAATAAGATCGACAGAACCTGGCAACCTGACTAAAATGAGGAGAGAAAAAACCCAAACAAATGCAAATGGGGAGATAACAACAAATACCTATATTCAAATAAATTTGAAAATCTTGAAGAAATGGACAGATTTCTAGATACTTATGATCATCCAAAACTGAACAAGAGGAATTAATCACTGAATGATCTATAACAAAAATGAATTGAAGCAGCAATCAAGAGTCTCCCTAAAAGAAAAGTCCAGGACCTGATGGATTCTCTGCTGACATTCTATCAGACCTTTAAGAAGAACTAATGCCAACCTGCTTAAATTGTTCCATGAACAGAAAGGGAAGGAAACTGCTAACACATTTTATGAAGCCAGTATTCACTTATCCAAAACCAGGCAAAGACCCTACAAAAGGAGAACTATAGGCCAATCTCCTTAATGAACATTGATGCAAAAATCCTCAATTCGGCAAACTGAATTCAACAACACATCAAAAAGATCATTCACCACGACCAAGTAGGGGTCATTCTAAGAATGCAGGGGTGGTTCAACGCACAAAAATCAATAAATGTAATAAACCACATTAACAGAAGCAAAGACAAAAACCACTTGATCAACTCAATAGATGCAGAAAAAGCCTTTGATAAGATTCACTACCATTTCATGATAAAAGCTCTAAGAAAACTAGGAATAGAAGGAAAGTACCTCAACATTATAAAAGCTATGTATGACAAACCTACAGCCGCATTATACTTAACAGTGAAAACTAAAACCATTCCCTCTAAATCAAGGAACAGGACAAGGATGCCCACTATCTTCCACTCCTATTCAACATAGTCTGGAATTCCTAGCCAGAGCAATTAGGCAAGAAGAAAGGGATAAAAGGAATACAAATAGGTAAAGAAATGTCAAAATATCCCTATTTGCAGACGACATGATCCTCTACCTTAAAGACCCAAAAAACTCTACTCAGAAGCTTCTAGACACCATCAACAGCTATAGCAAGGTAGCAGGATATAAATCAACATAGAAAATCATAGCATTTCTATACACTAATAATGAACAAACTAAGAAAGAATATATGAAAACAATTCCATTTACAGTAGCCTATGAATCACTAAAGAAAAAAATCAATGAAGACAGAAAGATCTCCCATGCTCATGAATTGGCAGAGTCAACATTCTGAAAATGGATATATTGCCAAAAGTTGTCTGTATGTTCAATGCAATCTCCTGTGAAAATTCCAATGACATTCTTCACAGAGATAGAAAAATTAATCCCAAAGTTCTTATGAAAGCATAAAAGACCAGAAATAGCCAAAGCAATTCTGGGCAAAAAGAACAACTCTGGAGGTATCACCATACCTGACTTCAAACTATATACTACAGAGTCACAGCAATAAAAACAGCATGGTACCAACACAAAAACAGACATAAGACAATGGAATAGAACAAAGACCCAGAGACAAATCCAAACAGCTACAGCCATTTCATTTTCAATAAAGAAGCCCAAGACATACATTGGAGAAAAGACAAATGGTGCTGGGAAAAATGGATATCCACATATAGAAGACTGAAACTAAATCCCTGTCTCTCACACCCTGTACTAGTATCATTTTAAGGGGATCAAAGTTCTCAATATAAGATCTGAACATGGAAATTATTGCAGAAGAATAGGGAAAACACTGGAACATACCAACACAGACATTAACTTACTGAACAGAACTCCAATAGCTCAAAAAATAAGAGAAAAGACTAACAAATGGGACAGCATCAAACTAGAAAGTTTCTGTATAGCAAAGGAAACAGTTACTAGACTGAAGAGACAGCTTACAGAATGGGAGAAAATCTTTGCCAGCTATACATGTGATAAGGGACTAATAACCAAAATATACAGGAAGCTCAAAAAACTAAACTACCAAAGAATCAACAACCCAATGAACAAATGAGCAAATGAAGTGAATAGATAATTTTCAAAGGAAGAAGTACAAATGCTCAACATCCCTGACCATAAAGGAAATGCAAATAAAAACAATATTAAGATCTCACCTCACTCCAGTCAGAATGGCTATCACCAACAACACAAAACAACAACAACTGTTGGTGAGGATGTGGGGAAAAGGAACCCTCATACACTGATGGTAATGTAAACAGTAGACCTACTATGGAACGCAGAATGGAGGCTCCTCAAACAACTAAAAATAGAACTACCATATGACCCAGTGATACCACTCCTGGGCACAAATCTGAAGGAATGTATATTAGGATATGACAGACATCAGTATGCCCATGTTTACTGCAGCACTATTCACGACAGCCAAGTTACGGAAATAGTCCTACAACTGATAAATGGATTAAGAAAATGTGGCATAAGGCTGACATAGTGGCTAAGTGGTAGAGCACCTGCCTAGCAATAATACTGAAATACATTGCATCTGTGTAGGAAGAAGACATAACAAAACATACTGAAAGTTGCTGAATAATAGGGTAAGGGGGGATGGGTAAGAGAGATCAATAGATGGAGTTAATCTGATTAA